TACAGCTACTGCTACTGCTACTACTGTCCACCACCGCCAACACGACCACTGCCTACTGCAGACTGCCTGCTGCCACTTCCCACCTCCTACTACTACCCCACCACTGCTTACTAACAGCTATACCTGCTAGAAAAACGCATGGAGAGTGCATGTCTGTTGACGTGGCAGGAGTCGTTCGGATCAACCGGATCACAGATTACCTATTTTGGCGTCTAGGGCCAAGGGCGTCGACGAAAACTTCGAGGTCCCCTTGGTTTTTGGGGACTTCTCGGATTGGCAAAGCCATCCGAAAAGACCCCAACAGATTTCTCGGTGCGACGAGGGTGTGCCGACAACAAAACCAAGGAACGAGCAAGCCGGAGTGGTGTTCAAGGTTTGGGGATTCCGTCTGTGAGCAGTTTGCGCTTAAGCAACGCCCGTTTGTCGAAAATCGAGGAAGTTCAGCGTCAGTGGCAAGTTGCGTTTCATAGTCGTAAATAGTCGTGGACTTGGCCACAGAGTTTAGCAGATTTGGGGTCGAGGCTGTTTAGAGCTCCGATTTCAAAGCGGGGGTGTTTGTGCTTTCGGCTATTTGTGTGGGCTTGTGGATGTTTTGATGAAAGGTTTGCACGCAGTGATCGGGCTTTGTGTTCGGGGACCCAAATCCGTAAAGCAGCGTCCCAAACCCTAGAACCGGAAATTCCTGGGCTCAGTTTTTTCCCTTAATTTCTGCATCGGAAGGTCTGAAAACATCGGGGGTGCTGGACCCAATTCATGGGGCACCTTCGGGTCTTGAACCCTGAGCCCCAAACGGATTTTGTGACATATGTTCGAACTTGCCTCATGGTCTTTGGGAGATTCCTATTCATTCATAGGTTCCCAGTTTTGGGTCTAGGGATTTAAGGGTTAGGATGTATGTGTGTGTGTGTGTGCGTTTCTTTGTTTGGGTTCTCAGTTTTAGGGATTTGGGCATCATGTGGCAACTTATTGCTTCACCTCCCACCCCACGCGCCACCCCTTCCACCCTGAGATCCTAGACTAGCTCTTACCCCAGAACCCTCCAGACCCCCAGCCCTCCTCAGTGAAGTCACTTTTCTTCTTGAGTCTTTAGTATCATACCACACAGTACACAAGAATACAAGACAGTTGAAGAAATACAATATGTTCCTTTCCGAGTCCCGGCTCCATCACCCCGGTCGGCTGCGGCACCGCGGCCCCCGCCTAGGCGGCAGAGGGCTCTGTAGGCGATTTCGGGGTTCAAGCGTGCAGGGTCTGGGATTCTGGGGAAATCAAATTGGGAACCAAGGTTTCAGGGGTGAAAATGTTTGGGGTCCAGGATTTGAAAGTTGAGAGCACGGCGTTGAGGGATTTAAGGAACAGGGGTAGAGTTTTAGGCGTGCTAGTGTGTCTGCATTTGGGAAGTTGGGGTTGAGGTCGTGGTTCATTCAAAGGCCTTGTCTGGAACAGGGCGGTTCGAGCATCCCACGTCTTGCAGCTCAAGTGCCTCAAGCCCAAACTCTTGTCCTAAATGTCAGCCGACTGCACAGTAGGAGACAAACGGAGCCACGTCAAGCTGGCCACAGCCTCCTCCTTGAATCTGATGCGAAGCCGCACGTCCTTCTAAAGGGTTTCCATGGGCCCAGGCGTCGGAAAGTGACGACTCCCGGGAAGGCACCGAGCAGAGAATGCGCGCAGGTGTAAGCTCTTGGGGGATGGGACATGACAGGTCTATCACTCGATCGTTTACAGTTGCAGAGAGCTGGGTGCAGCTTGGAGTTTCTGGCTTGGAGAACCGTGGCCGAAATCCTCAACCTGAGCGTCGGATTGTGGAATTAGGGGTTTGTTAGGGCTCTTGGCTAACAGGGCGTCTCAATCCCCAAGCCCCAGGGCCGTGAAGCAACGCCTTCAAGCATCCCAAAGCCCCATAAACCCCGTAGTCGGGAAGCCCTCCATGTCAGGGCCGGAATACTTCGCAGTGCATCTCGCTGGGCTTCCTTCGTAAACTTCCAAAACCCTCGCCCGATGGGGCTTTGACTCCAAGCCCTGAAGCGCCAAGAAACTTATAGACGCTTCAGAAACTGCACAGACCTGAGCCCTGAGAGCCCTCTTGTACAACCAGTACAAGAAAACGAAGCAAAAACACCGAAAAAGATGAGAACCAAATCGCAACCCCACACGCCAAATCCTAAGCTCGCCTGGAAGAGACTTTAAGAAACTTGAGAAACCAAACGACCCCGAGGCGGCACCGGCCCAGCGCAGCCCGACCTCTCGCACCGGCCACAGAGATCGCTCTCCAGGGGGCTCAGGGGGGTGTCAGAATACCAGCAGTTTCTGACCTAGTCGCTGGGATTTACGGATCTAGTTTGAAGGAGCGCTTGGAGTGTGATTTCGGCTGAAGTTTAAGGCCAAGGATGTGCAATCCTGAGCAATCCTGTACAGATCTTGTGCGGCCGGCCTCGTCCTGTTAACTGTTGGCTCAGCGACGCCTCTCGCCAGTTCCAGCAACTTTCGCCCCTTTCGCCGATCTTCGCAGCCATGCGTGAGGCCATCTGCATCCACATCGGCCAGGCGCGAGCACATGAGAGGTGCAAGCAGTGATTTCACAAGACACGAGCGATGCGGTTGAACTCCTCCAAAGTCTCCATGGAGCCGACAGCTCCTGAAGCTAGAACAAAGGTGACGGAGTAGGCCTTGTCCACTGCAGGGTGGCGTGCAGATCGGAAACGCCTGCTGGGAGCTCTTCTGCCTCGAGCATGGCATCCAGCCGGATGGTCAGATGCCCAGCGATGCTCGCCAGCAGGTTTGGGAGGCGCATCTGTCGCCAAGCAAGTAGTCGCAGGGCAACAGGCCCCTTGCGGTGAAGCTGGACATGGGAGCATGAAGCTGAGGACAAGACCATCGGTGGCGGAGATGCCACTTGCTCGTGGTAACATGCGTGTAGGGCATAAAGCTTTATTTTTTTGGTCCAGCCTGGTATGGTCGAATCCACACGAAGATGCTGTACCCCGCCACCCCGCGAGGACGCATTTAATACTTTCTTCTCGGAAACGGGCGCTGGAAAGCACGTCCCTCGCTGCGTCATGGTGGACTCGAGCTTAGTTGATCTGCAGCCCTGCTGGCGACACCTGCATGTCACATGTCATGTCATTCGAGCTTGCACGGCAAGAGTGGTCCCTTAGTAGTCTTGGAGAGACGTCTAGGGCATGAAGGAGACTCGCAAGGAGAGCCAAGCAACGGACTTTGTACGGTGGTTACCACCATGGTGTTGCTAGCAATCATTATGTCGATGCGGAGGAGGCCGGATGAAGAAGACAAGATCCGGATTTGTACTGAAGAAAAGAAGAAGTAGCCCAGAAATAGCAACGAAACAAGAACAAGGTAATGACGACAATATGCCCACGAGAGTCAGATGACTGAGATAACACCAACAGATGTCAAACATCGCCATCAACATGATCATTGCCGTTACTGCAACTATTGTCATCATCACCACCACCATCACCATCAGCATCACCGTCGCGCCGTAGTGCCGAAGGTGATGAGGATGGCTTGGTTTTACTTTCTGTGCGCTAGTGCAGTTCCTACCACAGGTAGTGCCCTGATGACATCCTGCAAGAGTGCTGCGTCCCTCAAGCCCGCACAGATCATTTTTGAGCCTTGCGACGTCGAGGAACCTAATGGCCAGCCATTGTCAGATTGGTTGTAGGTCTACAATGTGGCAATTGCCACAAAACCTCATGCTGACTAAAATCTTAGAGCCGCTCACTGCGCTCACAACATGGGCCGCTGGCCGAGCCGTGATGGCTTCTTGCGTCTATCCCAACAGCCAGGATGTCGCATTTACAACAAAATAATCGCTCAGGATCTTGAGCCTACGGTCGTGGATGAAGTTCGCACCGGTACCTACCGACAGCTTTTCCATCCGGAGCAGCTGATTTCTGGTAAAGAAGATGCTGTCACTTGACGGATCTGATCATGTTGACATATGTTTGTGACATCTATCTGCATGTCTCGAGTTGTGGACTAGCGGACCAGCGGTTTCCCAGGCAAACAACTTCGCTCGCGGACATTACACGATCGGCAAAGAGATCGTGGACCTGGTCCTTGACAGGACGGGTGCCTGCGTCAACTCTGGCTTTCAATCCGTCAGAGATTGATTCGATGAATTCTGGTTTTGATTGAACAGGTCGAACGAGTGCACTTGCTTGCTGTGTGTTGTTTGCCTGGCACCGCAAGGATTCAGTCAGCATCAAGTATACATCGTTGCACGTGCACTCGAATGTCTGCATCAGGATCCGCAAGTTGGCCGACAACTGCCGCCGGGCGGACAATTGTTTCAGATTTTGGCATTACATGCACACGCACTTTGCAGATGGATCCGTGGAATTTCCCTGCCAGCAACCGCTCCCTGTCATTGCAGAAATTCAGGCACCGGGCTGCAGGGCTTCTGTGTCTACAATGCCTCTGGGTCAAGCATACGGACGTTGTTCTCAACATCAGACGAGCCCTGAAGCGCAGTGGGGGGTTTGTGTACCGAGGCCTGCGGTGGAGGAACTGGCTCCGGCTTGGGCTGCCTCATGCTCGAGCGCTTGTCCGTGGACTACGGAAAGAAGAGCAAGATTTCCTTCACCGTCTGGTGCTGCCCGCAGGTAGCAACGGCAGTCGTCGAGCCGTACAACACCGAGACTCGGCTTCGGCGTATTCGGGTTTGCGGTTGTAGGTGGCTTTGTTGAGAACTGGCACGTGGCGCTTGCTGGAAATCATGTTTTGGCCAAGGTGTTGTGCGTTCACTCGCTCTTGGAGCATACAGACGTGACGATCATGTACGACAACGAGGCCCTCTACGATATTTGCCGAAGGATCCTCGTCGTTCGATCATTCATTTCAGTTTACAATCTTTCCTGTGGCCCGAGAACCAACTTCAAGCTCTGCGTTCATCGGTTCCTACAAAACCCGCTGCATCGAATAGTTTGAAGTTTGCATCCATTGCAGGACGATCGCCGTATGCTTGAACATGAAGCCGTAGACTGTTGCAAGCAGCACTGCACGCATGAGTTGGTGTGGGCGCGTCTCAGGAACCTGGACATTGAGCGCCCCACGTACACCAATCTGAACCGCTTGATCGCCCAGATCATCAGTTCCCTGACGGCCAGCCTTCGCTTCGATGGAGCCTTGAACGTGGACATCACGGAGTTCCAGACGAACCTGGTGCCGTACCCGCGCATCCACTTCATGCTCACGTCCTATGCTCCGGTCATCTCTGCCGAGAAGGCCTACCACGAGCAGCTGTCCGTGGCTGAGATCACGATGTCCGTCTTCGAGCCGGCGTCCATGATGGTCAAGTGCCTGGGACTTGTGCACTTGAGCTTAACATGTCACGAGCTTCTGACATACTGGGGGGTTGTGTTAAGTCGGACCGCCCCGTGGGAAGTCAGACCTTTGTGCGTGCACCCCGGGAGAAGCCATTCTGAACAAGTCCCGGCAATCGGTACAGCGACACAGATAAGTCGCATCATGTCTTTTGGATCCCACCCCACACTGGGGGGAAGCACCCGGGGGGGTCGCATCAGTGAGCGTCTACGTGGGGATTCGTGATCACGTTGATTCGGGATTGTTGAGTTTTGGGTTGCTGAAGCTGAATTTGCAGCAAGTTACATGGAGACTCGTTCTTTCTGTATTACTGGGTGCTTGCTGGGTGCTGGAAAAATCGAGCGTGGCTGGTTTTGTTTTTTTGCTCGATGCGACGTCGCTGATGTGTTTCTGGAGCGTGTGCTTGCTGAATCGAGCGTCTGCATGGGGAATGGCTGGTTTTGATGTGCTGTTCGCTGCGTTTAGAAGTACACAACTACATTTCTACTGGTGTTAGTCTTGAGTGGTTGTCGTGTGCTGCGATGCCAATGATTATTGTTCTGTTGAAAACACAACAGAAGCATTAGGAAACTAATATACAGCAAACGAAATCCGCAAAATACCACATCACAACCAACACAAGAAATTCAAGTAACTAACTGGTTGGGGTGTCGGATGTCTACTGTTCTGTTGAAAGAAACAATGGGAAAACAAAACACAAACAAACGAAATTATGTGTGTCTCGAGCGGGTGCTTGGGAAATCAAGCGTCTAGTTGGGGAATAGCTGGTTTAGGGTGCTGTGATTTTGCTGCTGTTTGTGCACATGGGGGGATAACTGCGCCTACTTTTTGGCTTGCTCTTGCGACAGGGGGGGGAGGGGGGGGGGGGCGGGAGAATAACGTTCTTTGTTTCAGCATTGTTTCAGGATCTACTTTGCTAGTCCGTGCTCATGTTGGTGTTGTCATGGATGCATGCTGCTGCATGGTGCTGCATTTCGTTTACATGGGGATGATGGTGCTGGAAGATGTTGTACAAGGGGATGCTGATGGTCGTGCTGGATGATGTTGTGCATGGGGATGCTGCTGGATGCTGCTTGCATGGGCATGGTCTTGGATGCTACTTGCGCGGCGACGCTGGTGCTGGATGATGCTTGCATGGGGATGGTGCTGGATGCTACTTGCAAGGTTTGGGCTGCGGGTTGCTATGTGTCATACCATGTCCTGTTTTTCCACCCATTTTCACTTCATTTCTCATGGGCAGAAGTAGTTGAATCCTTGTGAACACATTCGCAGATTCATATGGGTTGACAACGAACTTTCAAAAATCGTTGAGAGATCTGCATCGGATCAACTTTGTCAGATGCGCCTATCGCAATTAACTGCATCGGATGAACTTGCTCAGATGAGAATTACACATCTTGCCTGTATGGAAAGCTTACGTAAATGTCTTATACATATATACCTATGTGGTAAATCGACTTCATGTGCAAACTTGGACCATGTCTTGTCAGGACATATCACGCATCATGTAACATGTCATGTTATAGCATGTCATGTCCTATTATGTCACACGACGAGTTGTTTCCTACATCCTAAGTCCCATGTTGAACCCTGTTTCGTGTCACAGGCATGGTACCTTGGGCATGTTTCGTAGTGATACTTTCACTCTACTACTTACAGCAACGAAGCCTCAACAGGCCGAAACACTGACTAGCATTGCCAAAACCCAAGTTTTCAGCATTTCCCAACTGTACATCCAAAAAAACATAGCCCCAACAAGTACAACAAGAAGCTTGTTTCATGTGGCACGCGCGGTCGATTCGAAGTTAATGTGTCTTTCCAAAGGCGCAACAATCCCCCCATGGGGCTGTTTGTGTTGAGAGGGTGCATCTGAAAACGAGCGTCTACATGAAGAGCGGCTGGTTCTCCTCAGGTCTTCGCGCGCTATAATGCCAGTGATGTGTGTCTTGAGCGGGCACTTGTTACATGTGTGAAAGCGCGCACATGGTGATTAGTTGCCAAACTGGCTAACTTTTAAGGCTGCGGGACGAAAATTTCCTAAAAAGCCTGCGCGTGTCACTCGAAATCCTAAGTTGGCGTCTGAGCCTGGAATGTGTTAGGAAGCGCGCGGCCATGGGGAAGGTGATGTGCAGCAATGCTTGTGGTGTGACTTCACACGCCCTGGTGTAACTTCACGAGTTCCCGCGTGACCATGCGGTGTCGCGACTTCACTCGCCCTGGGGCAACATGACGTCACCCCATGTCACCCCATGTATAGAAGTTTTCCGAAAACCAGGGAGCCTCGTAGAAATCCTAAATGGTAGGGTCCTGCAACATAGGTACACCCAATGGGAGCCCTAAATTCAAGAAGCAATCATGTGTACCGGACTAGAGATTCACATCAGAACTGACTGGTCTGCCCTTTTCGATCCAATCAAAGCACCTTCGGCATCCAATCAGGTGCGATCCGCGACACGGCAAGTACATGGCCTGCTGCATGATGTACCGCCAGTGACCTAGAGACAGTGAGAGCTTGCCCTCTTGAGAGAGAGGTTTTGGATCGCTTCATGACGCAAAGGTGGTGACGTTGTGCCGAAGGACGTCAACGCAGCAGTTGCCACCATCAAGACCAAGCGCACCATCCAGTTCGTGGACTCTTTCAAAGATTAGAGATGGTGTTCCACAGGGTTTGGATACTGTTGCTGTGGTCTGTACTGTGACTTTGTTGTTGATTTCTGATCATTTCATGGAGTCCCACCGCGCAAATTCAACTATCTATCTAGTTTCCGAGGGTGAGATCCCCCCGCCCCAATCGAAGACTAGATCACCATCGAAAATCGAAGTTCCGTGATTAGGGTCTATTTGCCTACCAGTATGAGGCTTTGTACAAATCCACCAAAATGCCGCAAACACCAAAGGTCTGAAGCATCCCAAACTTTTCCAAGTCCTGAGAGCCCAAAGGCTAGTGCTTGCTGGGGAGCTTTACAGCTGAGAAACCGTGGGTCGGCTATTGTTCTGTGATCTGTGTCCGGGGTTCGCAGTCAAGTAAGGCTTACGCCAGACTTCCGCGGCTTGAGTTTTTTTTTTTTTTTTT